TCGGAATCCCCCAAAGCACCTGCCCTTCCAGCAGAAAGAAAAAGGGGCGTCAAGAGAGCAAAGCCCAGAGGCCCCACGGAAACAGTCATTTTATATTCTGCTTTTGTTTCTTTTTTTTTTTTTTTTTTTTTTTAATTTTTTGTGAGTTCTAGTTTTAAAAGAACTAAGAAGCGTTTTTTGTTTTTTTCCCCCATAAACACATAATTATAGCTTATGTAGTTCAGTAGTTCTCAGCATTGCAATTGCGATGGCCTTGTTTTATAAATGCCAGTTAAAATACAAAAGTGGCAGGTAATGTGCTTTTCCGTGACGTGGAGGAGAAGCTCGACTCTGCTTGTGTTGTGGGATATTTGCACACTGTGAAGATGTGTCACTGTGATTGGTTTAATAAAGAGCTGAATGGCCAATGGCTAGGCAGGAAGAGGTTAGGTGGGACTTCCAGGGACAGAGAGGACTCTGGGAAGAAGAAAGGCAGAGATGCCAGGATATACGGAGAGGAACTAGGAGGTGTAAGATGGAAGAGTGGTCATGCCACTTGGCAGAACGTACATTCGTATAAATGGGTTCATTTAAGTTATCAGAGCTAGTTAGGAACAAGCCTAAGCTTTAGGCCGAGCTTTCATAATTAATAAGAAGTCTCTGTGTTGTTATTTGGGAACTGGCTAGTAAGACACAGAAAGACTCGTGACATGCTTTTACCATTGTTTCCATTCCCTGTGTTCACATGTATTGTCGCTTTTAGCCTCCCAAGAGTTGTACATTTCCTACAGCCTAACTGACCCAGGCCACGGCCTGCAGCAAATGCCAGTGTTAGTGTGCATCCTATCCTCTGTTCTGAATGCGATCCCCAGGTAGCATTCTGCTGCAGTTTCACAGCAAGCATTTAAGGTGTAAATTTTATCTTTGTGGCTGTTGTGCACTCAGTACAAATGTCATCAAATTTTGGTTTCCTAAGTCTGGTTTCAGATTCTAAAGCATGTCATGAAGTTCCGGCTACATGAGTGTGTTGGGATGCTAGTTAGTCCGTCTTTAGGGTGGCCCTTACTTACCCTGTGAATTTCCTGGTGATTTCACCAACAGCTGGTGAGACACATGCCCCTTTCTTCTCACATAATTTGATATATATGTTATCCTATGCTTTTAAAAAGGAGAGAGGGCCTGCACTTCTTCGTCTAGAGTTGAGGCCTTGGGGACAGAGGTGGACATATCTCTATGAGTTTGAGCCCAACCTGGTCTACGTAATGAGTTCCATGACAGCCAAGGGCAGATCTCTGTGAGTTCAAGGCCAGCCTGATCTACAGAGCGAGTTCCAGGATGGCCAGGGCTACGCAGAGAGACCCTTTCTTAAACCCCTCTCCCCAAATAAATACAATGAATTCTAAGAAAATGTATGCTTTGATTGTGTTTATGTGTGTGAATTAATGTATACTTTTTTTGCCAATATGTTACATGTAAATAAAAGTTAAAATTTTGCCAGTAACAGAAATGGTAATTGTCACCTCCTGGGTACTTTGCATGGGTGCTGAGCCCAGTGTTAGGGGTCCTTCCAGTGGGTCATGGATGTGCTCACGGGCCCCTGGAAATGAGCAAGCCCCTGAGTGAGGAGCTGCCTCCCCTCAGCAGAGGATATACCAAGCCAGCAGCCTGCAGCCTCTTGCCTGTTAGTACTTCTCCCTTATTTTGGGAAGTCATGGTGCTGGAACTCATGGTCTCTACAAGAACACATCTGTTTCTGTGTTTCACAATAAGGAGACATTTGGAAACTAATGAATGGAGATCTGAAGTTTACACATGGGTAAGGAGTCTTCCTAGTGTCGTTGCTATGGCTTCCCATTTCCTGGTCCATGTGTATTCCTAGGACTACACCTTTGAGACATTGCTGGAACTATGACGTATTTGCCTCCCCCTGACACTGCTCAAAATCTGCACCTACAGTTTTAATCTCATAGCTGAAGTTTTTTATGCCAGAAATGAAGATATTTATCATTATCTTAACAACAGAAAACTGATTTTGAAAGAAAAGTTGAAATTCTAGTAACTTTTGTGCAGTCTTTAGTCACTCACATCCTTAACATGTATGTAGTAGGTATATGTAGTGATGCCATTAGAAGGGCTCTGTTAAGTCCTCCTCTTCCTCCAGAGTCTCTGACTCTTCCCTCAAGTTGTGTAATGACGATCGTGGTGAAATCAGCCGGTGGTAGCTGTGGCAGAAGATGTTTTATTGTAGCTATTCTGTCTCCATTTATAAGGAAAACCCCAGTTTTATACAAAAAGAGGGGTAGTCTGGCCGAGAGGGCAGGCTGTATTTGAAGCCCTGGTCTTTCTGTGCTCACTCCTCACTGGTCACCATGCGTTTCCTTTTTCTTCCCTTTTGTTGAACCTCGTTCCTCTCACAAAGCTCTGGATAATAGCACATCACACCGAGTGCAGTGTTGTGAGTGCACATGCTGTGTCCAGCATCTAGACTCTGTGCAGGGCATGTCTGATTCATCGTTATGTCTTTTCTCTGATTTCCGGTTAGGTCCCCAAGCAAGAACTATTCTTATGCAATCAAGTTTACCCCAGGCTCAACTGGCTTCAATATGGTAAGGAAGTACAAGTTCCTCTGTTTGTATAAAGTAGAAACTTAGAGTGGTTTTTCGTCGGGATTTTAGATTCACATCCTTATTTAGAGAAGATGGAATATGTGTGGTTTTGAGTAAGTTGTGATAATCAATGCTCTTGCTACAAGGACAGGGGTGTTAGCACAGTGAGCCCCAAGAACTCAAGACAGACTAACAACTCCTAACCCAAGGCCAGGCTCCTTTTCCCTCGTGACTTCAAGCCAAGCCTCCTACCGTTTTACCTATAAATATTTAAATATATTTCATTAACTTTATCCATAATGCCGGTAGTTCACCTAAGTAGTCACTCCTATCAAATTAATGAGCTAGTCATCGAATGCCTCACCTCAGCTAATGGTTTGTATAGCTTTATTTGCACAAAGGAGTGAAACAAACCTATATGATATTTCGTTGATCAATTTAAATTTCTTTTAAATATTATTTTATTTTATGTATATGTGTTTTGCCTACATATATGTCTCTACCATGTGCATGCCTGGTACCCTTGGAGGTCAGAAGAGGGCAGAGTTAGAGATGGTTGGGGGCCCCACTCTGTGGTGCTGGGAACCAAACCTGGGTCTTCTGAGAGAGCAGCAAGTTCTCTTAACCACTGAGCCATCTCTCCAGCTCATTAATTGATATATTTTTTAAAAATCCCCTTTAATCTATCTCTACATTACCCTTTTTTGTTCTCTATTTGCTCCCCAAGTCTTCCCAAAACAAACGAGGTAGTTTATTGAATACTTTCCTAATGGCTTGACTTTGCTGTATTCTTCTGGTGGTGCTTAATTTGTTTCTGTATTTCCTGTGAGATGATAATTAGATCTAGAACAAGGCTTTTCAGTTTTAGCACTGTGGCATTTGGGGGTAGCAGTTCTTTTGGGGGGCTACCCTGTGCATGGTAACATCTCTGTCCTCTGCTCATCAGATAATTGGTACTGGTAGCCATGACCCCCAGCCTCAGTTCTGACAACCTAGATGTCTCCAGATGTTAGCATGTGTCTTTTGAGGGACCACATCACCCCTGGGCATAAGCCACTTCTCTGGTTCTACTTTGATTTTTGCTCTTTGGGGTGAGGCTACATGAGAGCTGTTACTGTGTACTTTCTTTGAGGGGCACAAAATGTCCCTGTTAGTGCATAATGACTTTTAATAGCTCTTGATGAGTGTTACTCCAGCTGTTCTTTTTGGTTTTCTTTCTTCCTTCCTCCCTCCCTCCCTCCCTCCCTCCCTCCCTCCCTCCCTCC